CCAGTTCTAGCAGCACAGCAACGGGACCTCCGGAAAACGACGCCAATATTTCCAGTGACCAAAGCTCAAAGTGCCATAAGGCTGGCACCAGTTCTAGCAGCACAGCAACGGGACCTCCGGAAAATAATGCCAATATTTCCAGTGACCAACCACATCACTCTCAATTTCATGGTAACTCATGTCCCTGCTGCTTGAAGCAGACTGAGCCTCCAGCCCAGGATTGCCAAAGCCCGTCCTGTCAGGTCTTAAGCATTGGATCTTGCTGGAATTTAGGCTTCGATTCAAAACCGTGGGCTGACGCATGTTACACATTGAACTTTTTTCACCTCATGAGCCACAAATGGTGACAGGAGAGTTCTGAACATGTTGGGTGACACGCATTGCTGGTGCAAGTCATCAAACACCAAAATCCGGATCTGCAGATGCTGCAGCTGCTTGGCGAAGTCGCTCATCATGATTGATCCCTCGCCACCTAGGATCAATTAACATGACAATAGAATTCTTTCAATTAATTCTCCTCAAAATTCAAGACCAATATTTATCGGAAAACCGCCCTATCAATTTTTACCCTAAAGCCAAAACACAAGTCGTCACGCTGTTCCTGCCACGATTTGCCCTCAGATGATTGCAGCCATTCAGCCATCCGTGATCGCATGGTTGATCTTGGAAGCTCTTTGTGGCGAAGATGCCCTGGTAATGCTTGGATGCGCAAAGAATTCCCCCTCCTGTACGAAACTTTGTGGAGTGCATTCATAGTGTCTTCATCCAGATCGCATGGAGCATGGAAATCCCGATGGCCCTGGATCTCTGCTTTGTAGTTTCTATACCTTGGCACCAATTCTTCTGCCCATATGATATATGAACAAAAGTATTGACCAACAAAACTGAATATACCATGAGGAGAGAAGAATCCCCTGAAAATAAACCGGACCATGATACGAGTAAAAAATGATCCTGGATACATATGAGCAGCGACAATCAGGATGCTAAATACATGCAAGCAAGATGCAAGAGACCCAGGCTGTCCTCAGCCCCTTCTGCCCCTCGCTGAAGCGAAACTGAAGGGAGCATGGAAGATTCAGCCTTATCATTGGATTTCTCGACGCGCACAGAAATCGAGAGAGAGCCAGTGACCTCCTGCCCTTTCTTTCGCCGCTTTGCCATGGCCGCCTTCTGGATCAGTGGGTCCTTGTTGAAAGACGACAATGTCTCAACGATATTTGAAATCAAGAGCTCGTCTCTTGCTCCTCCAATCGCCTCCACGCCAGCGACCTTCAAACGAAGTCTGTCGGCGATCCTTCCAGCGGAGATGCGGGATTCTCCGTCTTCTAGATTATGGAGCAAGCTGCCGATGCGCTCGCAGCTGGAAGATGCACTTTGGGTGCTGAGGCACATACAAAGGAGAACTGCAATGTGCCAGCAATGCGTAACCTTTCCACTCTTCATACTGGTGTAGATGTGGAGAGATTTGTCAAGCATGATTGCAGCAGCAATGGCCTCAGCATTTGCATCCCCGTCCACTGCAAGCACATAGGCAAGTCTCCCACGGAGGGATTCTGGCCACAAAAGCCGACAGAATTGACCTTTTCTCTGGATGGCAGGCCCGTTTTCGATCAATGGCTCAAGGGAGGTTGCTTGTGCGCGATAAGCATCAGAATGCCGGTCACCTGCTGATCATTTCTGCTCGTGCGAAAAGATGCCAAACCAAGAGCCCTGAACTCAAATTTTATTGTATAAGACTATTCATAGGAAAATGAAGTGTTCAGGAAAATCCCTGGCCAATTGCCATCAAGCACATCCTTGATTGACCAGCAAGACCTGGAAATGCCACTCTCCAGCCAGTTAGTTTGCTTGCCTAGAGTCAACTGACAAAATTCCCATTTCTATGTCAATTGAATAAGCTCTTAGATATGATGTTGCTTAGGCCAAGTTGCTCCTCAGCATGCGCCAAACCAAGTCAGACAGGCAAAGCAGCGTGTCTCCATGCGCAGCCCCACGAAAGCAAAGAGACAAAATGCGCACCAGGATGCGAGGCGGATTGACAAAGCCCACGGTGCATGCTTTGACACTCAGCCAATCATCGTACTCATAAGATCTAGTACGCACAATGGTCCAAAAAACCAGATACTGCCTCCTAGCCTGCCGTTCATCCGGCCAAGCCCGTGCCACGTAGGGAAAATCCTGTGGATCAGGCCACAGGAATGACTCCAGCTTGGGTTTGAATCTTTCCAGCAAGCTCAGCATCGCCCTGTAGCTTTCTTCAGTGGGCCTTTTTTTCCCCATGATCATGTCTTTGAGTCGCCAGCAGATTGACATTTCGGAATATAAGTCCGTCAAATTGCGCGGCACGCCAACCGTCCCCCAGTATTCATCGTAGCTATCAATCAATGCCTGGAGAAAATCTGAAGCCGCAGTAAGGGCAATCTGGGCAGCACTGTGGACCAAAGGAACCAATCTGGAGGTCACGCATTGCACCAGATGATGTTGATACATTGTGAGCCCCTGCAATTCCAGCCTTTGCCTGGGCTGAGGAACTACCTCGTATCTGAGAGCAACATCAATTGGTCTCATCTGAGCCTGCTCTCTTGCGTGTTCACGGGTCAGGAGCGAATATGCCACCCATTCTGGAACATTACATTGCAAAGGCCTGCCTCGAACTGCAACTGTCATAGAAGCACTTCGAAACTGTTCCCGGGATCTTTGGTACAAGCAGACGCACCGAGGAGTCAAGCACACCGTGCCCACCCTCAAATCTGCCAGAGACTGCAGCTCCACACCTTGAAAGTGTCTTTGCACGAGGATAGTGAAAATGTTCCGCATGAGCACAGGGAACCGACGAGCTTCCTTGGTATATCCATAAGCCTGCACGAAGGCCTTCAGATCCTCTGGCTCGTTGTAGTGCTGCTGCAAGCAAAGGACCACAAGGAAACGTCGAATCTTGTATAGGTGCCTTCCCAGCCCCAAGGAATTATCCGATTTTCCAAGCTTACTCCACAAAGATATGGAAAGGGGCAGGTATATTAGGCCACAAAGAGACATGACATAAAAGCAGGAAAGTGTTAGCACTAATCTACTAGTCAAACCCCAAGCCAGAATAGTTGCACACAAGATGCTCAATGTCATCGCGGCCGGCCCGCTGCTTCTGCTGGAACTGCTCCCAAAGAGTCCAGGGCGCAC